TCACGGTAAAAGATATGGACCGGTTCCATAAGATACACACTGAGAAGCAAAATTTGATGAGGATTGACGATATTCTACTTCTAGGAAAATGAGATCAATTTTCTGGACGGTTCGCATTTTGCAACCGGTGCACTCACTAGTACAGCTCTCCTTACCATTTAGGAAGAAGTAGGAAGTGCGCACAAGCTGCCTTCCATAAGAGGTCACTGGTTCCTTAGGCAGACGGCAGTAGGGAGCTGCCGGAAAGCCGCAGGTACTGCGACTTTGGTTGTAGCTGATAGTAAAAAGCGCCGCGAACCAGGTCGATCTACCCGATCCATGATTAGACGGAGCAGGGTCGATACAGGTGGGAATGCTGCTTGTGCGCTTGAATCTACGGTAGATGTGTTAATCAGAGCTGAACTTGAAAGTACACCAATGCCTTTGCTGCGACCTTGAAGAGAAGTAGATATCGTTTGACAATAAAAAGAATATTTGTAGTAAACAACAATTCCAACACTAACACAACAATAGCACAAATCACTTCGTACAAATAGCATACTAATCTTAACAATAATTAAATGATTACTGATGGAAAGAAAAAGGTAACTACACTAACTGTACACAGAGTAGACATATGAGTCTTTAATTGAATCCTCATAATGTTGCAAACGCCTCTTTAGGTATACTATCCTTATTAGCGACAAACGCTTGACCAGCGGCCTGGAAACGAAATAAATAAGTAAACAGTAAGCCGACTAAGAATTAGAGGTAATTCTTTAGACTCCATAATTTCAAGGGATGATAGAGCTTGGTAGTCTGCAGAAGACTGCGTTGAAAGGAAAACTCAACAAGGTGAAGAAAATAGATGATACTCACCTCATAGTTCCAATCAAAATCGGACAAGCATTTTTCTGACCATGACGGGAGCATTCCGCTGTCCTTGCAAAACTGCTCAACCATTTGCTTCTTCACTTCAGCGGACGGTTGACTTGACATTTGCAAACCGCTAATGGACTAAAAAGAAATAACATTAGAAAGCATACCAGGAAAAATTAAGAAGCAAAAATAAAACCTACATTAGTAGCTTGTGCAACTGGATTAATTGGGACAACTGGTACAGATGGTACTTGCGCAGCTCCATTTGATGCGGCCTTTAAAAGATAAGTATTTTTACTCTCATCAATATTGTTAAGTAAAAGAGCGCATCTACGTACCTTATTGAGCATAAGTTTATAACGTGCCACACGAGCTGGTGTGATTCCTGTAATGTACAGCATGTCAGAGATGACCGCTATTGACCTGAAAAGCAGCACTGATGTGACAAAGGAAGCAACTTTAGATAAACGCAATAAAACTTGCTCATTTGCTCGAGGCGACACAACGAACGATCTCGAAAAGAAGCTCAGTTGTGGTACTTCTCCAGGTTTGGCAAATTTACCGTCCTCAAACAATCCCTGTACGGTGAACGCCAAGAGTTCTTCCTTCAAACGGATAGGAGTAACTTAAACATAAGAAACGGCAGTAAATCATAGCAAACCGATATTAAGTGCGTGTCAACTATGAAGGATTCTGTATAATGGTTTGTGATCGGTAGTTTCGACAGAGCTACGGCGATATCCATCGCACCTAGAAAAAGTGAGGAGAAGTGAGATTGGCATGCATTTTGTGAATGTATGCAACCGTCCACTCACCACGATATGTCCTAGTACTTCGATTCCGTTGCCATCGTTCTTCACATAAGACGTTATGAGATGATCGAATGTAGAGATTGTAGCAAGCACTAAATTCAACTTCAAATTTCACATTGAACACTGAAGATAAAAACTGCAGTATCTAAATCCGTTAAATTTACGACAATGCTAGAAAATGGCACTGTGCTGACATTTTAATTTGATGCTCCCTCAGATGTAAAAGTGAGTCAACTATCTAGCACCCGCTCTACTTTATCAAACACCTCTGCCACATCGCATTTTTGACCTTTTCTATTTAACCGAGCCAAGTTGCATGCCGTCAAATTCCACAGGGCTTAGCAGACTTTAGCTAGCCCATCATATTCTTACTGCCATGGATGACTTCACCGTACGGTCTAAAGATTTGAAAGCATTCACAAGATAATATGAGAAAATCATTTGTTATAGAAAACACCTAATCTTGTTCTTCTTAGAAATACGCGCAAGAATGTTTGAAGCCCTTAATGCTCTCCAAACAAATTAGGCTCCTGCGCCAGAAAGCTGCGTCACACATAAGAATAGTCTCCGTATAGCCCTCTTTTCTGCATTTTTTTAGAAAGTCACGAAACTCTCCCGCCTTTCGCCAGCCAAAAGTTCATACGCCGAAAAGTGGTAGATTGGTCTTAACTATGAAAATGGCATGGCAATTTAACTCTGTTAGTAGGTCACCCTATAATAGGAGCAGATCCTAAGTTAATTGCTGGAACAAACTACATAGTTTTGCGAGAGCAAGATGCTTATCATACATCCCACTGCAGATAAGCTGCTTTTTAACGTTGCTCCATGAACTGTTCACTCGATCATTTTTTTTCTTTTAAATCGCTTGCACTAAACACTGCTCAAGTATTGAGATAGGATAGCCAGCATTCTTGAGGTTCTTCTCTTGTAAAACTAAGTGTTTTTAATGTATATTTTAGAGTACTCATTCATTTCGGATTAAATATAATGCAACAGTCATGGATATAGTGAGATTATAACAAATATCTACTCATTCTTACCATTCTAAAAGAGAAAGACTATAAGCACCTAAATGCGTCCAAACCTTAACCCCGCCCAATTTATTGTCGTCCATGGGCAAAAAATAAGACGAGTAAGCTAAATGGCTCTGTGTAAACCTTAGCGAGACAGTTTATTGTTGCAGTTAGACATTAACTGCCGTCACTAAGAAAGAGTCGCATGTGCGATAAGAATTATTTAGTGAAAAGATCACATAACAAGTAATTGAGTAGGTCTCTGGAAAAGGCTTTAAGACAAATGGATAAGAAACAACTATTTCAATAAAACCTATGCATGAAAAAAAAAACACAAGAAAATCAAGTGTTAGTCTTGCAACTAAACACCTGCACCTGGAAGTTGATAAAACTTACTCATTTGGATAACGAACAGGTCCGTCATGCGACATATCTTTCAGATGAGCAATTGTCAATGTGAACGATGACTAAACATATAATTCAAGGTAACGATCACATATATTTGTAGAATGCGCCGGAAGACATGTACTCACATTGTCTTGGTCATAGGCTTGCACAAGGTTCTTCCTAGTAACATTTCCTTCTTCGCCATCATAAAGCTTAAAATACTCGACCAAAAATCTCTCCACAAGCACTCGTAGACTATCGCTTCCATAAAATCCAGACTGAAAAAAAA